AAAAATTCCCCAAATAAACCCGCAAACTTTCCTCAATAATCGCGGTCCGGTGATGATAAGGCAGCGAGTAATAAAAATTCAACAATTGCGGCCGAGCCGCAAAACGAATACTAACTTCTTTTTTGGGAGCAAATTTATCGCGTTCAGTAGGATTAATCTTAATTTCTCCGTTTTGGTAAGCTTGCAAACTAGTGCGAATTAAATCGGATAAAGAAGAATAAGTATAATCGTTTTGGCTTCACAAAGAATTTAATATCTGCTCCGCTTCTTGGCACAAACTAGCATTCAAAGCAAAAGTAATCCGGCTCGTGGGCTGTTGACTTGGTTGCGAAGGGCGAGCAATTGGTCGCGTTCGCTCCGGTTTTCTTGGCTGCGTTAGGGGCAGTTGCTGTGGTTTGGGGGACTTATTTATTTTTCTCATAACGGAATAATTGTTGGAAGATGTTAGCGATATCCGCACTCTTTTTGCAGTTCGCAAAAAAATTAACTGGGCTACCATTGAGCACAGAACCATATAAAGCTGGACGATTAGAAAGCGAAGGCAGAATGGTTCCCGCTTGATTTTCCTGTAGGGTTTCGGCTAACTGTTCCAGTCCTTCTTTTTGCTCTTTAGTCTTTTGATAACGATTCGGGAGAAAAAAAACTCGCTGTTGTCTTTCGGGAGTTAGAGAGTTGAATCAAGGGATTAGCACTTGTAAATCCACATAATGGGCTACGAAAGGCACTAAAATTAAATCGGCTTTTTTTAGGTAAGTCAATGAACCACTGCTCACTCCGGCGGTATCGATGATTTGGTAAGCAACTGGTAAGCGAGACGAGACAATGCGATTTTCTTCCTGACAATTATCGATCCAGGTTTGTAGAGCTCGGTTAGGATCCGTGTCGATTAAATTGACTTTTTTCCTGCGGTGCCAGAGATACTCAGTTAGCAAAGCCGCAATAGTAGTTTTTCCGGTTCCGCCTTTATTACCAGTGATTACGATAGTGGTGAAATTATTTGCCTTAACTCGTCTCGTTTGGTCTCGTCCGAACATTTATTATAGTTTTATATTAGTGAGAGAACTCTCGGACGAAAAGGCAAAAAACCCAGGAAAAATTTTCCACTCCTTCTAGGTTTAACACATTTAATCCTGAGTTTTTTT